TACTTAATCTTAGTTAAGATTAAGTACTACTAAAGACTCAAGTGAATCTTAATAAATTTAATTATTAAAAAAATTATAACTTTGCAAATTTTTATAGAGTAAAATTTCTGTCTGCATTTTTTATCAATGTTTAATGAAAAGTCTTAAAGCTTTTCATCAAAAAATATAATTGTGAAATGAAAACATAGAAAACATAATGAAAAGTGGTATACATTTCACTTTTCAGTTTGCATTTTTCATTTTGACTTTTTGGTGGAACAAATATACAAATGAAAAGTGCAAAGTGCAAAGTGAAAAGTTGCAAAGTGTATTGGTAGAACAGGCCCCCGGTCACTTGTTTTTATTAAACTGTGCAGAACTAGAGATATCAAATCACATTCTTCTTCTTCTTAGGCGTTTACAGGCCATTCAGGCCCATTGCCGCAACAACCACTTGCCTCCACCTGTCTCGGTCTCTTGCCAGCTCTTCCCCATCCTCTATTCCAAGTTCCCTCAAGCCCTTGACCACTCTATCCTTCCATCTTTGTCGAGAACGTCCTCTAGGCCTTTTTGTATTTGGCTTCCATTTCGTAGCCTGTCCAATTGGCCCCTCCGATCTCCACACGTGCCCGGCCCAGCTCAGCCTACTACTTTTTAAAATTCCGTTAATATTCGGTTCTCCGTACAGGTCTTGGATCTCCTGATTTGTTCTTACTTTGTATTCTCCTTCGTTATTTTTTTTTTGGACCATAGATTCTCCTTAATATCTTCCGCTCGAAGGTGGCCAATTTTAGTTCATCCGATTTTGTAGTGGCCCACGTCCCACATGCATACAAAGCTATAGGTCTTACTAGTACTTTATAAAGGGTTATTTTTGTCTTCCATGATAATATCTTTGATTTAAATAGAGGGACCAATCCAAAATAACATCTGTTTGCCGCTGCTAATCTAATCTTTATTTCCTCGTGGCTATTTGCATCCTTGTTGATGTCCACTCCTAGGTATTTAAAATCATCTACTTTTTCGAACTTATATTCCCCAATATCCAGGTGTCCCCCTCTATGATTATTCCTAGTTACTACCATATATTTTGTCTTATCCTCATTTATAATTAATCCTATTTTCTTTCCATTTTCCAGTAAATTTCATGTTGTCTCCTTTAGATTTTCTTCATTTTCTGCCATTATCACTAAATCATCTGCATAGGCAACTAAAATTAGTTGTTTGTCAATTCCAATTTTAATTCCACTTGCAGTTACAAGGATATCTCTTACGACTGATTCCAATGCTAAGTTGAAAAGAGCTGGGGACAAGGCATCACCTTGTCTAAGCCCTGTCACCACCTCAAAATCCTCCGATACGGCATCTCCGAACTTCACTTTACACTTTGATCCTTGTACACAAGCACGGACTAGTCTTACAAACTTTTCAGGTATACCCAATTGGTACATAGCGCTCCATAGTTTCTCTCTATTCACCATATCATATGCGGCCTTAAAATCAATAAAAAGGAGGTGTATATCTTTGTCAAATTCATGGCTTTTTTCGATCATTTGCTTAATAACATGTATTTGATCTTGGGTTGACTTCCCTATCATAAACCCTCCCTGGTAATCTCCAATCATTTCTCGTAAATAGGGTTTGATTCTAGTAAGTAGAATATTAGACAGTATCTTATATGATGTGTTCAAAAGGGAGATTCCCCTATAATTTTTGCAATTCATGGGGTCTCCCTTTTTAACCCTTTCGGTCCTGACCTACTCGTATAGGTAGGCAACTTTCGATAAATTGTTTTAAATAAAGTTTTCATCGCAGCAAACCAAATGTTATAAAATAATAATTCTTAATATATGGACATTCATAAAAAATAATAATATTCATCGATATTTCAGTATAATTGTAATATTTTAACTATTTTCTTGAAAAAATAAAAAATAAATATAGTGATGATAAGGTCATTAATAATATATATATAATATGACTCATTATCATCATAATTGCATTTCCCGCCAAAACTATCTAACATATGATTTTAAAAATCTGGGAGTTTTTAAATCAATAGTTAACATGTTTACATATAAGTAACAACCATAACCAATATGTTATAATCAATAACTCAACAATTTTACCGCCAAATTCTATCAGTCTTATCACCTACTGCTACGAGTATGTCGGGCAACAACGGAGTACAATTTTCACCATGAATAATGTTGTAGGTACTATACATATATTTCTATCAACATTATATTATATTTTAATAAAAAAGTGAAAAGTCATCTAGGAATATTGTGATTATTTATTTTGATATATTTATAGTTTGTTAAAAAAAATTATTATTTGATTAAAAAAAAGTTAATGTTGTTTATTTTGTTTTTTATATACTCGTATTAAAAGGTTTTGTTATTATTTTGTTTTACTATTTTATCTTGTTATACTCGTATTAAAAGGTTTTGTTATTATTTTGTTTTGTTTTTTTACTAACCTACTTGTAGAAGTAGGTAATTTTTTTTTTTTTGACTCCTATACAACCCGACCTACTTGTAGAAGTATGTGATGAAAATTTGCATATAATTTGGTAAAAAATAATTTTTTTTTTCTGAAATTGCGTGAGTAAGTTATTTATGGCTATTTAACCAAGGAAAAAAATTATGGATTTTTTTCCTAAAAAAAAAAAAATCAGGACCGAAAGGGTTAAGAATAGGACATAAAACAGATGTACGCCACGGTCTTGGTATTTCTTCATGTTCCCAAACTTTAGTAATTAAGTTATGTAGCTGGTTTATTAGTAGTTGTCCTCCCTTTTTAAGGCATTCAGAAATTATCTCATCTTCTCCCGCTGCCTTACCGCTTTTGAGCATTTCAATACCAGCTTCTACCTCTGCTCTTGATGGTGGTTCTATGTTTTGTTCTACTGTTGCACGTTCTTCTATAATTGTCCTTTCACTAGGATGGTTTAAAAGTGTATTTAACATTTTTTTGAACTCATCTGCTATTTTTCCGTTATCGGTCAATAACGTTCCATTTTCTCCTCTAACCATTGATGTTTTACGTTTAAACCCATGTTTAACTTCATTCGCTTTCCCAAAGAAGACTCGAGCATTATTCTTTCTACTACTTTCTATGAGTTGTACTCTTCCTTTTTCCCATGCTCTCTTGTTCATCCTAATTTTCTTCTTTACCTCTCTCTGTTTCATGGCTAATTCTCTTTTATTTTCTTCTTTTGGGTCCTGTAGCACTTTTAATCTCGCTTTATCCCTTTCTTCCGTGGTCTTTCTACACATTTCATTGAACCAGTGCTTGTTCCTTCTCTATGGTTCGTAACCCAAAACTTCTTCTGAGGTTCTTTTAACCGCATTTTCTATTCTTCCCCATAATTCTTCTATATTTGCTTCATGTTCAGCGCTTAAAATGTATTTGTTCAATTTTCCCTGATATTCCTTTGCTTGGTTTCCATTTAGTAGCTCTCTATTAATTTTTTTGATGCTCTGTTTCTTCTGCCAATTCACTGAAATTTTTAGTTTGTACCTTGCCTTTACCAGGAAGTGATCCGATATCGCACTACAACCCTTCATACTTCTTACATCTTCAACGCTTGATCTTATTCTCCTGTTAACAACTATGTGATCTATTTGGTTTTTTATCCTTCCACAGGGTGATATCCAGGTCTGTTTATGGATGTTCTTGTGCGGAAACATTGTACTGCTTATGACCATGTTTCTTGCTGCTGCAAATGAGATCAATTTGTTTCCATTTTCATTGGACTCACTATGCAAACTGTTTATTCCAATAGTTGGTCTGTATATCCTTTCTCTTCCGACTTTCGCATTGAAGTCACCAATGATAATTTTTGGCTTCCCCTAAGATAGCCCATCACAAACTCTGTCTAGCTCATCGTAAAAAGCATTCTTTACTTCTTCGCTTTTATCCTCTGTTGGCGCATGACAATTTACAATTACTATGTTAAACCATTTGCATTTAAATTCTATATAGCAGATTCTATCACTTATTGGTTCAAACTTGACAACATTCGGCAAAAAATTTGTCCTTAATAATAAAGCCTACTCCTCTTTCGTGTTTTTCTCCACCGCTATATAAAATTGTATTTCCTTGTGACTTTATACTACCAGATCCGTCCCACCTTATTTCTTGAACTGCTGTTATATCAAGTCTGTATCGCTCAAGACACGATACGACTGTCGTCAATGTTCCCGTCCTATACATTGATCGCACATTCCAAGTTCCAATACATAAATCCGTAATCTCCACGTTCCGAGGCAATATTAATCGTTGTTTCGTAATCATATTGTTTTGCGTGTAAGGTGATTGGCCTTACGACAACCTCCTCTTGGAGGGTCTGATTACTCCAACCAATTAAGGTCAGAGTAAGGGTGGAATGAACCAACTAACTAAAGTAAGTTCAGTCCACAGCTCGGGGCCCCGGGTTCGCCACACCCGTAGTGTTAATTGCTTAACACCCCCCTGAGGGGATCAAATCACATTACAATCGCTAAATTATTTGATAATTCTATGCATATATTATATGGCCTGAAGGTGTACGACATGATGATATTTTATTATTTTTAAGCGACAAGGCATCATACATGGTTAAAACAGGAAAATATATTTTATCGAAAATGATTCACGTTACATATATTGCTCACGCATTTCATCGAGTTGCTGAACAAATTAAAGGGCATTACTCAAAAGTTGATAAAATTATAGCAAACGTGAAGAAAGTATTTTGCAAATCTCTATATCACATTAATTGTTTTAAAGAAAAAGCACCACTCCTATCAATTCCCCCACAATCAATCATAACAAGACGGGGAAGCTGATTAACATATTTCTCAATATATAAACAACATCGTTAGCAGGTAACCAACATTCGTCTGGAGTTGAAAATATAAGGAAATAACTTGTCGTTCAATGTAATAGTAAAGATAGGTAGAACAACATTTAGTTAACTAAGTACATATTCGAGATAAAAATTAATTTTACAAAATAGATTTTTATATTTCCAGATGAAGGAGGTGAAAACGAACAGATAAAACAAAAAGATCAAGAAGACGACGATAAAATGTAATTTTTAAATACTTTTAAATAAACTAACCATAATGTAATTTTTACTAATTTTTTTAGAGCGTATTTTAAGTGCATATTTTTTGATTTATAAGTGCATAAGTGCATGCATATTCTTAGATTTTTAAGTACTAGAAGTCCTCAACCCTACTTATTACTTATTATGACTACCTGCTAAATTTTAGAAAACTTTTAATACGTTTACTGTTTACACATTGAACATTTTAGATTATTGAAATATGAACTATTACTATTAGATTCATCTAAATTTTCAAATCGAAATCAAAGACAAAACACAGAATAGAATAACAACGGACGGTAACCTAGGTCATTCGATGGTTACATAAATAATAATTATATATAATATATATATTAAGGTGGTTCAAAAATTTTAACTTAAGATTTTTGTAACCAGCACACTCTTATTTTGTTAAGGGACACAAAATAATGAATCTGTAAAAATTTGGACTTGATAAGTCAACCCCTTCACGTGCCGCATAAAGGTTGAAAATAACCAAATGAGGAAGTTTTTTGGTTTTTGAATATAGGTTAAAAACTGTGACACTTAACATAAAAATGTGTAACACCTAATAGAATCTATTATTTCTTATGAAAATAGTATTTACTTACAAAATTTTTCATAAATTCATTTTAACACAATTAAAAAAATTAAATACAAAATATTTCCTCTATTTAGAATAAATTGTTTTTTTTTTTATGATTATTATAATATATTTATTGAATAGATAAAGATACCATGAAAAGTTTTAATATACAAATTATATATATTACAGTTTTTCGTTTGTCTTCAACCGAAATGTTCTCATCAAATAATGAAAACATAACACATTCCTCATTTAGGTACCGTAAATGGTTACAAAATTTCTTAATAGCTATATTTGAAATTGATGGGTTGATATCTTTATAGGACATTATTTTTTTCAAAAAAATGATATCGTTTAAAGGAGCTTCAATAAGATCTATACAGGTAAACCAATTCTGTGCATAACACGTAACAACAAAACAACAAATATCTTTAAGGGCAGTTTCTTCTCTGTGATTTAATTGTACTTGATGTCTGAACAACTAAATTTTGGAACAATAAATTTCTTTTGCCATCCATCTGGCGAGATGATAAGCATCAGGTTGACTAAATATTATATCCCTTGAAGGAGTACCTCCCAAGAAAATAATTATAAGCTCCAAAAATTCTCTGTAATCATTACGCGGTAAATCTTCTTTTACTTTTTTTTCAGCAAAATCCAATATATTAAAAGCAATGTCTCCCAATTTGTCATAAACATAAATGTCTGTCAAACACGTGAAAAAGTTTTTTTTATTAATATTACTCCAGTTCTTTTGAAATTTTATGAAAATTTTTATATCTGGACTAGACATAACATAATTTTGTCTCGTGGAAAACACCTTGTAAAACAACTTCATATATATGGTGTCGGCAAACAAGTAATAAAATATTTTTGTTTAGTTTTTGTTCTAGCAAGACACAAGCACCGTTTAATCTCCCTGTATTTGAAGCGGTGGTATCAACTACAATGGTTTGTATCTTATCTAATAATCCCCAATCATGTAAATTATCGTACACAGCCGACGATATTTCTAATCCTGTACCGCCTGTAAGCCCAGGGACTCCAAGAAGTTGCTCTAAACTTGGAGCTATGGCGACAATTGGGAAACGGTCTACATTTGCTTTGCCAATTATATCAGGTAATATTTTTGAGTACCAATGAATAACAACAAAATCTAAGTTTAAATCGAAAATATTTGATTTAATTTTATTATTACCCTCTTTTCTCAAATTTTCCCTTGCTCTTTTGATTGAAGATCGACTGAGCATAAAAATCATCTATACTTAGTGATACAGCTTCTATGCAGGCTGTTATAATATGAATGGCATTTCGGTCACTTATTTTACACTTATCTAACGCAGAAATTGGACGAGGAATCATTAAATTCTTTCTCGTTCTTTTACGCTTTGACCGGCCTGCGTAAGTCTCATTTTCAAAATCATCCATGTCTTGTATTTCTTCATCTAATCTTGTAGAAGACTTAGTTCCTAAAAAAATAAAAGTAATGATAAAAACATTATTATATAAACATCAACATCATACGATTAAAAGTAAGTTTAAAGTATTAATTATTGTTTAATAAGAATGCAAAGAGAAATCATATAGTTATTCATTTATATATTTTATAAATAACAATTTTACAAACCGGATTCAAATTCTACGTAAGTTTCAACGACCGTTTTTTCTCTTGATTTTATTTTGTTTTAAACTCAAACTTTGTTCCTTTTTCCCAATGCATCTAGTTTTAGATCTAGACCCAACATACATCCTGGACGACCATGTTGTCTTTGCAGTGTTAAAAATTCTTTGTCTTCATTGATTTTTATAATTGATATTGCATTCACATGTGCAATATCAAATAAATCATTTAACCCATGAATAAAATCTTGTTTTCTCTGTTTGTTTAAGTCACTATTTCTACTTTTGTTTTTTTTCAAGTGTTCTCCAGAAATTGTACAACTTTTTCAATTTTTTGAAAAGTATGAAGGATCATGTGTAGGAAGTCGAGCTTTTTTCCAATATATTAATCACACATCGATGACAAGACTTAAATTTTCATTTAAATTTAACTTAACAAACCGCATATTTTAAAATAAAACACTCCTTTTTAGATGGTAATTTACTTTCCGTTATTTGAGTTTTTACCAATTAATTAAATAGATATTTCGATTCGGCATATTTAAAAATAATGGAGCACACTTTAGACTCGAAATCAATAACAACCGTGATGGTGAACTGTCATTACGATTATTGAAGAAATATCGTTATTAGAATTGAGGCAACATACTCGTAAATAATGAATAATAAGAACTTTTCGGTTTTATCACATGAAATGGTTAACTAATTGTCATGGGCTCCAGGAGGGGGGGGCAAGAGGGGGCATTTGCCCCCCCCGCAATTCAATAGATTGTTGAATATTTTAACTTTTATTTTGATTTATCAACATTTCATCGATATTTTTACTTTAGTATGTGCCGTGTGGTGTTGTTGATCGTAATGACAATATATTATAAGGCGTACCTACAAAATAATGCATATTACATTAATGGCGCAAAATTAAATACGTTTCAATTCTGTGAATTGATATCAATCGCCTAGTGTGTAAACCACTTATGACGATCGACGCACCACGCACACATACGCACACGACGTCTGTCAGATAACTGAGATAACTAAAAATAAATCGAATGTACAATATCACATTGGGAATTATTGTAAAATTTAATTATTTGTCAACGGGCCGTCTACTGAGAAACACGGATCACGCTGAATTACGTACGTATTGTATTTAGTATATTTAATATTTTGTTTTATTGTTAATATTGTTATGGACATCAGACATTTTTTTAGAAAACCTAAGCTTTGTGATTCTCTTAATGAAGTCTCTACTGGCTCTACTTCAATTGAAATAAATAATAGTACAATCAATATGGAGTCGTCGGAATTGTGTGTAGTTGAAAGTGCTTCGGTTACCATGAATACAAAAAATAACCGTGGTCATATAATCTTAACTTATGAAAAACATATTGAAAACTATTTGAACGTCGAAAATATTGACGATTGTTTAAAACATGAACTTTTACGTAATCCTTGAGTACCGAATACTACTTATGATTTTAAAAGTGATTTGAAATCAGGAAGAATTCGAGTATTTAGACATACCGAAAACGGTTCATGGTTGACATATTCAGCTCTTGAGGGTGTGAAAGGAGCTTTTTGTAGAATATGTGTGTTGTTGAAGTCATCAATTCATAGAGGTGTACAAGGTGGATTTATAATAAAACCTTTTACTGAGTATAAGGATTTTCATGCATCTTCTAAAATACATTTGTCTTCAAATTGGCACACTGAATCAATGTCAAGAGCAAAAGATTTTATGGATATTATGAATTGTAAAAAAATTAGTGTTGTTGAATAAGTAAATTCTGGATTGCATAAAGAAATAGAAACTAATAGGCTAAAAATAAAACCTATTATATCAACTATTTTGTTTTGCGGAACTCACGACCTTCCCTTATGAGGGAAAAAATCAGATTCTGGTGTTTTTCATGATCTTTTGAATTTTTGTATTGAATCTGGCGATGAGATATTGAAAGATCATTTTTTAACTAATGTGGGAAATACTAAATATTCATCCCATAGAACTCAAAATGAATTAATTACATTGTGTGGAAAAATATTAAAAGAAGAAATAGTATGTGAAGCTGATGCCGCGAATGCGTTTTCCATTATTGCTGACGAATCAGCAGATATTTCTGGTGTTGAGCAGCTAACAATTGTAATTAATTTTTAGACAAACAGTCAAAGATTCGAGAAGAATTCCTTGGCTTTTTACCATTAGATAAATTAAACGCAGAATCAGTTGCTACTAAAATTTTATCATTTATGGAAGATAGTGACCTTAATTTAAGTAAATTTTGTGGACAAGGTTATGACGGCTGTGCTACAATGGCTGGAAAAGTAGGCGGTGTTGCTAAATTAATTCGTGACCGATATAATAAAGCTTTATATTTCCATTGTGCTAGTCACCGATTAAATTTAGTAATTAACGATCTAAACCATAGGCGTGCGCAGACTTTATTCGCAGGTTATGCAATAAGAAATATAGGGCCCCTCACAAATAAATTTTCTAATCTTCCCTTAATTTATTTGCATTTTCTTTTAACGCATATAAGATTCAAGTCACAATCTAAGTTTTTGCATATATACTACGTAGCTTCTTTACTTCCCTTAAAATCTAAAATTACACATAATTTTACAGTAGAATATTAAACAATGCACTGTAGAAATAAGTAGTTTGAAATTTTATTTATATTTATTAAAAAAAAATTTATTATTTATTTAAGATCAAGTATGTACTATATTGAATGCTTTTGAATAATTTTAACATATTTATAATGTTGTTATTTTATGGAGAGTACTTAAAATCTAAAGTTCAAGTCTTCTTTTTATCGGCACACATGCTTTGAATTCATCTATTACATCTTCAATATTGATTTCTGATGCCATCTTTTGCTCGATAAATATTAACATCAGTGAAGGCACGTGAAGGGGTTGAATTATCAAGTCCAAATTTTTACAGAATCATTCTTTTGTATCTTTTAATAAAATAAGCATATGCTGTAAGAATATAAATTAAATTTTTACCTCTATAAGGTTGGACCACCCTAATATATATATATATATTATATATTTATTATATTACCCACGTATAAAGTATTTTGAATACTATTGATATCATTTTATTTATAAACTTTCTTAGTAATTTTTGTTGTTTTTAATTGAGTGATATAAAATTATAGCTTTAAATATATTTACATCAAAGTTAAGAATATAAATAACGAAGAATAACCGTATACCCATGATATAATAAACTTATTATATCATGCAAATACCCATAAACAAATGTCTTACGACCAGCCCCGCTAGTTGCACGAGTTCAAAATACAAAGGCTCAAAGTAAAAATTATTATTTATTAATTCGATTATGAAAATTAAAAATAGTATTTTTCCCTCGTTCCATGAAAATCATTCGAAATATTTTTTTCATTCGATATACATTTTGAGATTAAGAATTGATTGTTTTTAAAACAAATGAGATATTACTTAAAATAATCATTCGGTTAAATAATCAAATTATTATTTTGTTAATCGAAATATCTACATTATTTTCATAACCAAGATATCTCGATTACGCCCATCATTACTTGTTAGTTTTGCACGAATCTCGGTGAGATTTACAGATGGCAGTACAGTGGCGTATTTGAGCTTACTTCTAAAGAGGGGGGGGGCATTCAAATTTTTTCTTTAAGTCAGGCTCTAAATATACAAGTTAAATTTTTGGTAATATTAAAATCAGGCAAATCTTTAATATTTGTGTTTTTTTTTTTAATCTAATGCCGGATCCACTTCGAATCGACTTTTGTGTAGTTTTTTTTTTAACACCTGTCTGTGTTTTGAAAGTTACGCTTATGTTTTATTTGATTTTTTACTAAGTATAGACCCTACAAAAAGCCCTATTCAGTATTCACAGCGACGTGTAATTTCATTTCGTTCTAAAATGATTCACATTAAAAAAAATTGAAATGTGTATCTCACATATAATCAATTCCTTAATTCACCCTTTCTCCCTAAAATAGGCCCACGTGGCAGTAGTGTATTTAAGATTTTTATTTTAGAATTTTAAATCAAATTCTTCAAGATTCAAATCAATACCCAAATAATAGAAATGTTTTTATAGTTTAATAATTAAAATTAAAATTGAATCCTAACAAAATTATAATAAATGAGATGAAATATCCGATTATATACTCGTATATCCACGTATTCACATATCTCATCACCCTGAATATTACGGCACTATAGTTCATTCGTAACGCATGGTAATAAATAAAAAATCATATTGTTTACTATTAGGTTTTTAGGGTTTAACAATTGATTTGTTGATTAGATTATATATTTAAAATAATTTTGTATTATATAATTAGTGGTTATACTATGCATATGAATATAATTGTTAAATTACACTCCTTTGGATGGCCATCAGTAACGCTTCAAATATTTTCAGTAAAAGGCTTATTGTAGTTTTTTTTTATTCAATTTTAATGTTTACAAATTCTAACATTTTGATTAATGTTGTTCAATATACTCGGTACATTTTATGCGACGCAGAAAATACAAAATATTGTAAAATAAAAACCAGCTTCCCGATCAGATATAAAACTTTAATTCATATGGAATTGTTATTTTTGACCTAGTGGAATTTCAGGAAACAACTAATTGTTATCAACGTAATAATTTAAATATTATAATATATTGCAATGTTATAGTGACAATTAAAAAATAGTAAATATGTAGGGAAAATAATCTCATAATCATTATTTATTAATTATCTACATATCATAAAGTGAATGATTCATTTGAAAACCCATGTAATAAATTAATTTTAGGGGAACGTGTATTGTATAAATTATTGGAAAAACGGAAAACCATTTTTGATACCATTTTTTTTCTGTTTATGTCTGAATCGATATATTTTAAGAAAATCGTTACATCAGTTGTATAATTTAAACGGTACCCACGATTTTCAAAAAATTATACTGAACAGAATACTTCTAAATGTATTGATTCTGTTTCTTTTATGCTACTTCAACATCTCTCTTTATTAAACTACGAACCATTAATAATTGTTATCCATCTAATTTAATGATTTAAAACTATTATATTCTGAAATTATTGATTTTTTTATTTCCCCATGCATTGGACGTTGGACACTTAGACGTGCGTTAATGTGTATTTAATTACCGATAATCAGTTATAATAACATTAATAAGTAATAATGAGCTGTTCCTATCTAATCTCCACGGGTTAGCTGATAGTGTTAACACCAACGAATTCATTTGAGACACAAATATATAACCCATATTGTTATTATATATACACAATTGGAGTTGGAAATAACATTTCGATAATTATGTATTTGTGCTTGCTAACAAGCGCAATATTTCATTAAAACCATCCTTATTTTATAATTACTATTACGGTTAGATAAAATTTGATTCTATAATTAGTAATAATTACTAAATTACATTCCATATTAACTGGAATCTATGTAGAACCGTTGACTGGTACAAAAAACATTTCTGCGACAGTGTAATATTCTAACCTAATCATTCGTGTAGCGGCTGTGATATTTTCTACAGATTCATATTGCTATGAAAAAAATGAAACAAAATATTGGTCGAGAACTTAGAAAATGTAATGCGTAACTCTTAGGTTAGTGATTCTTCGTGATCCATATTACATGGATAAATCGATGACATAATATAAACCCTTTGGTAGGTGTAAACTATCAATAATACATTTTCGTATATAATTCTACATGGAATGAAAATACACCGAAATTTCGGTTTAATATTGTCAAATCGTATTCTCCATTAAGTTTATCTAATATCGTTTTTATAACTAATATGAGGGATCATTATAAATGTTGAATACCACCGCTAAGGCGTAATGTTCTTTTATTGAATGTGTTATCGGTTTTGGTTGTAGATCGATTATATATTAAATAATATATTATGCATTAAAGATTATTTTATAAATGTAAAAACAACGACAACGCGTGTCCTCGATAACATTATCCAAACATTTTAAATAGATAAATATTTTTGTATAATACCAATTACAATGTCAGTGCTGGTAACGTCTCACTTTTAGTCACTTATTATTCGCTTTTATTTACTTTTCCGTAATATGGTATTTTTTCTCACTTTTTAAGATTTTAAGTCCGCAATGATGTTAAACCGCGTCCAGACCAAGAAACATTTGTCGCAAACATGTGTTATCGACAATGTTGACGACAAAAATTAGAACTGTTTCTAAAATTTTTTCACCGACAATTGTATCGGCGACATTGTTATCGACAAATTTTTGTTTTCCATCCGACGTGGGAAAAATTCGACATAGTTTCTAAACATTATCGCTGACAATGAATTAACACTTCCAGACTGGTCAAATTCTGTCGTTAAACATTTAGTAAATAAATCATATTTTATTTATTTATTTGGTTTTCGTTCAGTTTTGCTTCGTCCATTACACCTGCATAAGAAAATATTTAAAAATGTTTCAAGTTATAATAAATTCTATTGATAAAATATTATTTTAATTTGTAAATTTTATATTCATTACTCATATCTCAATTTTCCAGAGGCCAATGTCATCACGTTTAAGATCAGTCATTAAATCATTACCACTATATTTTTGCTTTGCCAAGACACTAGGACGAACCCAATATCTCTTTTTGGAAGCTTTTTTTGCTTCTAAACTTAAAATTACACTAGCAGATGCGGCAGTCACCACGTCATTCTCGTTCCACATTTTGTCCAAGACTAAAATGTTTATCAAATATGTTGCTTTGGTGTGGACGCGCTGGTTTTAAATTTTGACGGCGACATTTAAAGAAACCTTTTGTCACCGACATTAGTGACAAAGTTGGCGACAAATTTTTCTTGGTCTGGACGCGACTTTAGCTACAACATTCATGCATTATACTATGAATAATGTTTGTTCTTATCACTTAATAAGATAAATTTTGTATATATTTTATGATGGGCAAATGTTCTGTTCTTGACGATTGATTTTTAAAATATGACAAATGTGAAATCTAACGGCATTTTTTTTTTTTTTTTTGTCAAATTTTGATATATTATTAGATACATGTTGAAGTTTATATTTTAAAAAGGTAAATAATGATAACAAAGCATGTTAATTTTTTACCTTTCCGGGTTCACTTTTTATCCAATTTTTTTTTTCTCAACTAAGTATAACATTTTGATAAATATGTTTAATATAAATTTGTATGAAAAATTAAAATCATTCTTGACACATAAGGCTGAGTTAGCTCCAAGTTTTGGTTTGTATTAGTTTACACTAATCATTTTTATTCTGTGATCTAACTTTTAGATAATCAAATAGCCCTAAAAAATTGCATGCAATATCCATTAAACAATAAAATTACAATCGAATATCAGACAATAAAGATATTTAAAAGAAATTTTTAAATGTTCTCAAGATATAGGCTTTGGAAAACCCAAAAAATACTTATTATTGGAGTAAAGTTAACGTATAATACAATTTTGGGATTTAAGTTTTTTACAAATCATTTTAACCAAAGTCAAAAATATAAATTGTCTTTGTTGGATGAAACCAATAACATTTTATAATGGTGATCGATGAACACTTGAACTACATTATATAAGATAAAATATATTCACTACGTATAATTAAATTACCTCTGTCTTATGCTTGAAATCTTTTTCTAATGCGATGATTCATTATGCTATAGGTATTGAATTAATTTTCTCGTGTAAACAAATAATAAAACTGTAACTCATTATATTTATACATCTGACTTAGTAACCTATACCAAGTTAAAATTATACCCCTTATCCAATTGAAATATGTCTTAGCGCACAAACTGTATATTTTCTCCCAGAAACAAAAAAACAAAATTTATCATAATATGGACTTTTAAAAAAAATTTCAATTACGATTATATCGTGCATAGAATATAGATTTAAATCATTATGTGATCAAGTTAAAATAAATATAAGATATCATAATTATCGTTATTATACTAAAAATAATTTGCTTTGAGATGAATTTTTATTTTTATTTAAAACTTACCTATAAAATATAAGTATAATGGTGTGTTCTCTTACAGTATTTTTAAGAGTTTGAAAAATCTAAATAGAAAATTTTATGAAAAACCGAGAATACCCGTTTAAAAGTTTTAATATTTTATTTTTAAAATTCAAGCATTGAGTTGAACAATGTTTTAGAAAGCCATTCTTCATAAAATTGAACATTAGTGTACACTCCTGGATTGTTGGCTCGTCCACAGCCATAACCCCAGCTCGTTATGCCCATTACTGTTTCACCTAAACAAAAATATATATCTTATTTCTAGTAATATATCTTATATACATATCCGTTAAGGGAGAGAAATTGCCTTCGGGATCGTAGTTTTGTAACAGTAAGGGGGCGCATTTATTTGCGCTTAATATGCTACCTGTGACTAGGGTTGCCAACAATTATTTACAGATAGGCGGGAAACCAGATATTTATATGCGGTATTTGACAAAAAAAAGCGAGACATGCTTAAAAATTTACAGAAACAAGAAAAAACGATTTTAATAATTTTTATCAGTTTTATTTAAAATTTGAAATATTCATATAAAATTAACAGAATAACCGATATTTTAAAGTAATCATCACAAGTTTTTTTTTTAACATAAATTAGTAAATAAAACACTTTGCCCAATTGAGAGTACCCTATCACAAGACAATTATTTTTTCTTTTTGATAAAGAGTGCTTGTATACTGAATACCGAATTAAATCTATAAGTATTACCAATTTTTGATTAAACCGGTACGTACAATCGACTCTGTCGGAATTTCGGATAGAAAATAGTTTTAAATGCACACAATAAGAATATAAGGCTTTCTATATAAAAATACTTATACAGGTTTACCAAAAGCGGGATAATTAGCGTCCCGCGGATACGCATCGTGAGACGCATTATTTGAGCTCTGGAAACGGGACGTCCCGTCTCACGCGGGACGGTTGGCAACCCTACTTGTGACCCCGAAAATCAAATATGTTATAATTTTATAAATAATAAACAAAGAAAACCGTGGTGAACGATGAAAAAATAAATCTAGCATTTCTCATCAAAAATCCTTATAAAATCCATTAACGACCGTGGTCTACTGACTACTAACAATTGTATATTACCATTGATTATAAATACCTACAATATTTTAAATATTTATAATCAATAATAATACGAACTACAAAAATAAAATATGGATTTATAAAATATATCTATTTGTATTATAAAGTAGGGATGGGCAAAAAGTTTAAAACATCGATGTTGATGATCGATATTTTCGACAAAGACATCGATGTTTATCTTAATAAGTTTTAAGAAAAATTTTATCTATGTTATATGTATGTATGTTATGTATAAATTATAAAATGTTTAAATAAATACGTTATTTAAACATGGGACTTCGGATTAGAAAAAAATCGATGTATTTTGCCCATCTCTATTATAAAGTCTGTTTCAGAATCATGCATAATATAGTAGTCGGTGCCAAATAGATTGGTACGGCGATGACCGGCGATAAAGAAAAACCCTTTTCCTCCGTATTTGGATATTATCACCAAATATAACAAAATATTTTAAATTGATATTAGTGATATTCGCAAGGTTGGGCAAATCAATGATATATCTTAATCACAGGCGAAACTAGACTAGACTAGTCAGGCAAAATGAAAAATATAAATAGTATTATTACGTAAAATTAATTATTATTTCCTATAATATAATTATAAAAATAAACGTCAAATGTCTAAATAACAAATATAACTAATATATTAAAACATATTTATTTAATAATACCATAGACTATGGAATACTTTTAATAATAATTGTAATCTATAATCAATGATAATATGTAACTATTTTTGTAATATAGATTTACGGCCAATTTTCATTACAATGGTAATGTAATTCATGGTGGCATGGCTATTTTTATTCAAAAGTCTTAAGATGGTTGAGTACTTTTTCCGAGACCGGCGGGACTCCCATAAATAATTAATACCATGATAAAATTATGGTCTCATTTAAAAATTCTTCGAAATTTTTATTTTTATATTTTTCTAAATTCCATGAACTTGTTATGGAATGCAGTACTTTACAAAAATATTTTTCTGCTCTTGAAAATCAAAATTAACTGGGATAAATGAAAAAATAATACGTTCATTTCAAGTGAATCCGTAAGGAAATAAGTTAAATTAACTTACCTTTTAACTTATTAACTCGTTAATGCCCAGGCTTGGATATTAGTATCTTAAGTTTTATTTTCAAGTAATATAATTATTATTATTGCCATACCATTATTATATGCCATTATTATCAACCATGATCGTTTATTTTTAAGCATTTAGGTTAATGATAAACAAGACTGCGAGACTGAGATTTAACATTACCAGCAAAAGTTTGCAACCTGTTAATATAGATTTATCATTTGTGGTAAAATTATACAATTCAATTAAATTATATATTTTTGAATTAAAGAAAAAGTTTTGAAACTATATTAACCCTTAACTTGGTAATGTATCCTAGGAGATACATTCACTTTTATCATTTTTAAATAATTTAAATACTAATTTTTTTTATATACATTTTAACGTTGTTAATAGTGCTACACTGTTTGATTACTATCATATTTTCATTTCCCGCGTAAATTTTAACATATCTTTTCCGTTAAGTATTTAAAATCGAGTATTACGCTGTTATCAAATATACAAGAAATTGCATATTCGAAATTGTCAAAAACCGTTATTTATTAGAAAATTCCACAAAACAAGGGTGAAAA